GTTGAAATACATTATATCTTTGATAATATTCTTCATTCTGTTTGAATCATACGGAGTAGAAAATAATTCTTGAATTAAAAGGTAACAACCAGATCCGAAAATTTGTATTATTTATGCAAATACATGATGCCAGATTTTATTTTCATTATATTTAATTTATAAAATTTAAATATAAATAATTGAATGATTATCATTGTTTTTATTGTAGCTGGTTTAGTTCCAATTCAACCTCGGCCAACGACTGTCAGCACAACAAATGTCAATCCAAATGTTGTTATACTTCTAGATAGTGATGATGAAACAGAAAATGATAGAACAAATACAATAGCGAAATGATTATATTGTTTTTACCAAACTTATTTTAATTAGCATGATTATTAAAGTTAAACATGCTAAAAGAAAAAGATTTTGTCAGATTATGTACATAGTTTATTTGTCGTGAAACTATTATTGTTGTTATTTTTTGTTCATGTTTAAAGTGGCAAAAATGCCATTTGAATTATTCATCTCTATTTTTGTTTCGTTCAGCTTATTATATGTTTTTCTTTCTCTCTACATCCTGTTTTTTGGCCAAGTGTATGAACAGATGCATATAAAGAAATGTAATAAATATTCATTATCTAAATAGAATTTATTACATATTGTTTGAACTGATCTAATTTATATATCATTAGGTTGATTATTGAAATTATAATTGTTCAAAAATTTGTGTCAATGACATGTCATTATTGATTTGTAAGACGATTAGTCTAAGGAGGATAGGACAAAATTTCTAGCACTGACAAACATAATATAACCTTATTCAAACACCAACAAGTCTTCAATGGGAAAAATGATTTAGAAGAATAGATTTTTTTCTGTTTCTGTAATTATTCTTATTTGTAAAAATGATTTTCCTTTATATATTGTATGGAAAAATTTGTTCGTGGAATGCCCGTAGTGCCAATACATGCATATCGGTCAACTTAATTATTTTTCCACAAATTGTTGAAGTCAGTATTTAATCTTCAATACGTTCACTATCATATTGAAAAATTTCATGAACGAACGTGCCTGTTTAGATCAAGTAATATAGTTTGTGTCTGTCGTCTGAACTAATACAATTACTTAACATTTGGTATAATGCTGTTTCTCTCAAGCCTTTTCTGTAAATTTAAAATTCTGTTTTGCTATGTAGATACAAGCAAAAACATATTTTTTATGTATCACATTGTTAAGTATGACGATGGCATTATTTGGTCAATAGAAGTATTCGATCAATATTACAATAACTTCTAGTATTTACTTTTTCGAAGCACTTTTCTAGGCTTCTACTATGCTTACTGATAATGGTTTGGACGAAAAATTGGTGATGCTTATCAAAATACCGCCTCAATAAAAGCCTTTATGCTTATAAAGCAATTTTCAAAGTCTTCCACACATCGGAAAATCTTCTGATAATAAGGGTTCTTTTCTCCTCTATAATAAGAGAATTCCCCAGGATAAAAGGAGAAAAATACAGTTTAAAAGATTGAGTCTAATGATTGATATTTGTCAATGATTTCTGTAGTTTATTCATGTTACTTTTGCACTTTTGTGCCTAGTGATATCTAAGTTCGATTCGAACAATATTTTATTTCCAGCATTTTAGCGATGTATCGGTATTGAATTGAACGATTTATGGCAAAAAACTGATAAAAAATTCATCGAAAAAGCATTTTTTTTTTAAATTTTCAGAAAAACATTCTCTCAATAGAATAGCTTATTGCGTACTCGGAAACACCTTCCAAATTCTGTATTAGCAAAAAGAAAAGGTCTTTAAAAACTTTTTCCTTCAAAACAGTTAATCCAGTCTTTCAAATACCTTGAGAATAAGGTATGAACCTCAGAAAGACCTTTCGAGATATTTCGCTATCAACATAGTTACTTTAGTGACCGAAAGTATCTTCTGCGTAAGGTAACCATCAAAAAAACATCCTTCAGTATTTATTACGATCAGACTTATCATTGTAACATTGGAAGCACAAAATCACGCTACTTTCCTAGCACTGTCCTATTCGTTAAAGCAAAATGAGAGAAGAGGCGCGACATTGGCTCTGTCCTTACAAATTATATACATTACATGTTGAAGATGATCAAATATTTAAAATGTATTTATAATACAGATGTAAAATATATTTCTGGAAATGATTTAAAATTATAGAAAATATATGACGCATCTAGTACTGTGTTGCTATTTCAACAGGACGCCGGTTGATGGTAACAAGAAAGGATATTAAAGAACTTTGACCGTACGCATCTCGTTGCTTTTATCGTATTGAACTCCGGACAACTATGTACTTCCCAGCGAATTCCCTGGATGTTTGTTAGAAATTATTTATATGATGGAAGCAAAAGGATAAATTCTGGATCTATCTTTCGGTCGTATCCGTGCGTGCTGCCAGAAACTGTATTCGAAAATCAACAGATGCGGACGTTTTCCATCGTACGTCCTTAGCCTGGACAATAGAAAGTTTTAGGAATTAGCCGACATGATGCCTCTGGATGTCGTGGTACGGGTATAAGACAGCTAAATGAAACAAAAAAACAACAAACAAAAAACAAGCTTGGATTATATACACACTATGATATGCTCATTTATTTCTTGACTACAACAAGAATTTCCATTTGTGTGTTGAAAAGATTTAACTACACGACAACAGCTCAATCTTTTCGAACCGATCGTTTGACGGTTTTCTGTAATCGATAAATAAAAAACTTACTGAATCGATGAAAGTCGAAGTAATTGGTTAGCAAGTGTACAGAAATGGTTATGGAAAAAACAATTACAAGAATTAAAGTGTTACTTGTGTTACACCCATGGCTGACAAAATATAGGATATTGTGGTAATGGAACAATTTGTATAATTGCTTACGATATTTTAATCCTCCCATTGGTGAGCTAGTGAAAGGAATAGTGCATTGGTATAAAATTTACTCTCAAACAGAAGAAGTATCGATTGCTATTTTTGTGACTTATGCATTTGCTCTTTTTTTTAGGCCATTATCTATGTGATCAATCAATTCTTATTTAAAGTAGAAAATGAATGAAGTAAATGGCTAATATTGATAGCACAATGCTCTGATGAAGCATCAGTATTAGAATGCCAAGATATCCGAGATCCAGAAGCAGTGCATTTGCTTTTTATATTCATTGTCGAAATCATATAATTATCCTCACTGTTAAAAATACACGAAAGAAGAACTTTTAGAAATCACATGGTACGATTCATAGAATACATGTATTTTTTGATGAATACGCGTAACATTTGAACATTTTTAAAAAGATCAAAAATTCTTCATGGACAAGCAAAGATGAAGGAATCGGTTTTAAGTTATAGAAACAATATAAATGTATTGAAGAGACATGTTAGTATATAGAAACTCTTTGTTGACAGACCTTTTGGGTACTAAACATCATTTCATTTCTCAAAGTTCAAAAGTTTCAACTGCAAACAACACTCGTTGGGTATTTTATTATGAGTTGGCTGCTTTTGCTTGGACAGATATCGCTTCAATCGTACAGACTTTAATTCAAATAAGAGACAATAATACAAATGGTGCTAACGAAGCAAATGGGTGTGGGTGATGAGGCCGAGGTGTGTGCATTAGGATGTCAGTCAGAGTGCACAAAAGATTCGTACCCATACCAATACCAACATACTCGTGAGAAATCATACTGAAATGCTTTGTCCATAAGACGAGTTTTTCTAGCATCCTTCAAAATTTCACTAACTGTTTGATTGAACATTTAGGGCATTATGAGATCTATATTCCGCTTATAGCTTATTCCTGGATCTGTTTGCGTATATTCATCTGTTCGTAACAACGTTATATTATACATGGCGCGATACCAAAGGTTGAAAAATTCAATAGATATTAACCAAATAAAGAAAAATCCATAGAACAACATGAAAAGAAAAAAAATCGTTGAAGAACGACCAACAAGATAAAAGAAAAAGAAAATAAGGGTATAGATTTAATCATGCAGATAAAGAAGAAACATTGTTATGACCACATCTGAAAAAATCAGATTGTAACAAACACTTCATAAACGAACTTCTGTTCATTAAAATTATAGTAGTATTGTTTTTTTGAGTTTATTTTTGTTTGCCAATACTTTACAAAATTTTATCAATAGGCAGATACTATAATACTCGCGTATGCTAACAAATTCACATAACAATATAAATACCACACTCTAGAATAATACGGATACATACCTACTTCACAAACTATATATATAGTTTTATACAATTTCTATGTTCACATTAAATATTTACTTTTTCTATTGGACTAGGCACAAATCATACCTACCGAGTTCAAAAGTCCTTGTTAATACTATTTTTCCAATGTGTAAACATTTTATAATGATCAAATGTCATTCAATAACTTCTATTGACATTTATTAATCAACTAAAAAACTTTTCTCATATAGTTTTTATGATTGACTGAAGTTTTATTTAGTATGATTATTCTTAATAATATCATTGTCTAATAGAACATAACTTTGTTATTCAGAAAAAGTCGTGTTCCGAACATGAGTCATGCATTTCAACATGTGACAGTCTAATGACCATTTCAAAGCTACATGTTATGATGCTTATATAAAGATAAGTATTTATCATTTTATCATATTATATTTGAGTTTATTTTATTATTAAATCAAATAAAATAATCAAAATTAAACCTCAAAAAACTAAAACTGTATTCTCAATTTTATGAGCAAAACTCTGCTCTAATTAAACCTTTTTGCACTCATCTGGTATATCAAATATACTTGGATCATAGATTTCTAGTACAAAATCTGTTGCTGTCACTGTAGTCAATCCTGCTAAAAAAAATGAAAAAAGAGTAATTGTATATGGTTTTTAGGTCTAGAAAAACAAATATATATGTATCAGGTGTTTGAAGGAAAATATTTCCAGTTAGTGGAACACAAAGACCATCACGACTAACTGTAACAAAATTAAGATTTCCATTCACATTGACAGCCATGTATCAGCAAGAATTTTCTTATCACCATATCCATATATAGATGAACCAAAGTATTCTGCTGTATCTATAATCATTAGACAAACAGAATTGATAATTTTATTTGTATGAAAATAGAAAAAACAACGAAGATCGATGATAATCTTACCAGGTACACGAACCAATGTTTTAGACATAATCTTTGATTTAACACATGTTTTCAAGTCTTGATTAATTGTATACATTATTTCATCATTTATATTTTCAATAATCCACACATTTGATTTTTGTTGACAAGGTAATGTAATTGATACACCTCTCATTGCTATCATACCACGATTTGCATCATATATGTTAAATTAAAAGATGACTATTGTATATATAAAAATCACTGTCTAAATCAAATGATCTATATAAGAAACGACTGACATATGAACTGTATGTTTGATCACCAGGTAAAACAAGATCAACAGATGTACTTATTTTTGAGCTATATTGTGTTGGATAACAGCAACGTTCTGGTTCGTTTTTCAGTAATGCTGTTGATTTACCATCTAAGCCAGCTATAACAATGACAAGAGTGATGAAAACACTTTTGTAAGACATCATTGTTTTTTTTGGAGGATTTGTTTTCAACATGAAAGTTATTGAAGAAATGATTTGACTTATATAATAATAGAATCTATGATAATAAATATTTGTTTTGATTTTTGTTATCATGAGTATACATTGATATCATTTCTAAATACATGAAAAGTAATTATCTTTCAGATATTTTTGTTCTTGATATAACGTCATTAACAAGAAACTATAATATAAATTAGTATAAATAAATAATTAGAACTCGTTTCGTCGAAAGATAAATTAGAATCAATGGGTGTAGAGCAGAGATTCAAGAGTTAGCCTTGCACCATAGCTAACTAGTGTTTTTTTCAGTATTCTTTGAGAAGTTCAGAAACCATAGAATGGCTTAGCACACTCTTCGCACAAGTTTGGTCAAAGTTGCATCATCATGCGCTAGAGCGTGATGCTGACTCGTGAATCTCTGATGCCGAGTATGATTAGGTTATTCTTAATACTTTCATTTTCCTGAAAAGACTAGTTAAGTAGAATGGTTTCAAAAAAGAGCAATAAGTTCTGCATCATTTCATATGATAACTATAATTTTGTTTTACAAACTATTGAGGATAATAGTTGCACAGTTTTATTACATGCCATCTAACATAAATTCGACTTGTTGAACGTGTTTTTCTATGCAAACCGCTTTCGGTTATACACCATTTCATCGAGAAAAGACAGAGCTACAAAATGACTTATAACTTATTTTACTTTGATTCGGGTCCTGACATATTGTATGCAGTAGAATGATGTGTCGGTACAAAAAAGTAGACTTTGTGCATTCATTTTTGGTGTTTTTTTTTGAGACTAGGACGACTTTTGACAAAAAAGAATGACATATTTGCAAACAATATGAAAAAGCGAAGCAATCGGTATACTTTTTTAGAATCCAATCGACATTTTAACTTTCGTTCAAATATTTAGCGCTGGTCTACACAGAGATAGGTTGACATATGAAATTCCTTAAAATCGTATTAAAAAATTTCAAGTCAGATTCTATCATTCAAAAAACCCAGCACTTTTGGTTGAACAAGTGCGGAGAAATTCAGAATTCGTATTCTAGTGCTACTTATGGGACACCCTGTATATTAAAAGGTCACACCACATGATTTATTTCATTACAAAAGAAGTGATATTCTAGTTTTTTTTAGTCTTCTTTTTTTTCTATGATCTTGCATTGATTAGTGAGACACTAAGAGCATTGTTACAAAGAAACAAAATCGATAAGTCAGAACTGACGATGAAAATCAAGTCAATTTGTGTAATATCAAAACATATTAAAAAGAATATCAACATTTGTATCAGCGTGCGCGGCAACGATATTCAATCGACTATCTCTGTTGAAGTCACCAATAGCCACAGCCCATCGACACATATCAGTAGCAAAATACTTGGGCATTGTAAAACTTTCATTATCATAGCCACAATAAATGCTAATATAGCCGAATAAACTGCCAGCAACAACAGTATTCATATGAGTATCACCATGCACATCGTCTGCAGCTACTGAATGTGGACAAGCGCCAAATCTATAAGTTATCTGTAATTGGAAGATGCCATTTCCATTGCTAAGTAATATACTGATTGTAGCATTTGTACAACTTCTAGCGGCAAGATCTGTGTTATTAGCACCATTAAAATCTCCGAGAGCTAGCCCATATGGATTCGTCACAGTTGATAATACGAGTGGTGCTTGAAAAGTTTCCTTACCATAACCTAGATGGACAGTCACACAGTCACTATAGTAGTTGGTGACATCAAAATCTGCAACGACTATAAATACTGGATTATTGGCAGTCACCGTAATTCGTTGTGGTGCGAAATTTTCATTATCGTAACCGAATAGAATACTGACACTGTTTCCAAGAAAGTTGGCGATAACCAAATCTTATCGATAGTCACCGTTGAAATCAGCAAGTATGGAACGGAAGAAATTATAAAAACTCTTTGCTGGTCAAAACTATAATTTCCATAACTGAGCAGCACGACTACACTGGAATTTTCGTAGTGAAAAATGGCGAGGTCTAATTTGTTATCATTGTCAAAATTTTCCATAGCAACATATCTTGGTTGATTATGAATTGCAAAGGAGTTGTGCAACGTAAAAGTTCCGTCATCTTGGCCAAGAAATATGTTAACAGTAATGTTATTATAATTGGGAACAACGAGATCAATGTGATTACTACCTTTCAAATCTTCGGCAGCAAGTGACAAAAGATTGCCTCCAGGTCTGTACCTAGCCCATCGATCGAATGTTAACATGTGACACTTCAGTAATAAATCATTAAAAAAACTGATAATTTGACTCTGGCAATGTAATCAATGCATCTATTAATATCCCTTTTCTTGACAATCTTAATTACTGACAAACTCTGCATTGTACTATTAATGAATAGTCCTGTGCATGACACCAATAATGCGCATGTCACTAATTGAATAGATTCTTGTATAATACCTTACTTTTATCGTATACTTATAAAAAGTTAATAAAAATACTGATTAAGAAGACAAGGAAAAGTTATAAGCTATCAAAATGAAATGGTCAAACATGGAAAAACTGCTCATAGGCAAGTAAATCGCGAATAAGGCCAAAAACTTGACACAAATTAACAGTATGTTTTGATTCGCTTGCAGTCATTGCCATTCATTTTAATTAGAAAAATGCTGATATTCATTGAAGAACTATCTATTGACATAAAAAAGACATGTACTTTGTCTACGATAGGAAGCAAAAATCTTAGTTCATCGATCAGCCAAGTTGGTTTTCCTTGAATATTTTCAAGTCTATACTTTATGAGATCTTTGCATGTGCACGCGACTTATTCTACAATGCACTAATAAAAAATAATTGTTCGTCGATTTTTGGACAGCCGAGATTTATATTATGTTTCATGCAACGTTTACCAGTGTTTTTTGTTAGGGAGTTTTGATTTCGATTAAATAATTTCAAACTGTGTCACACAACTTCCAGACAACAGTGTATGACCGAGTTGTAACAAGTTGTGGTACTTATTTTCAATTTTCTAAACGGGTTCAAATGTTGATAACATGCTTTCTGAATGGTCAATTATCGTTGCTGCATACTTTGAAATGTCTAAATGTGCTTATTGACGATTTGTCGTTGGACGGATAATGATGAACTGTACACTTTATTACCTAACACGTTGTACATAAATATTTAATAGACATTACTTTCATTATTAGATTAGAAACCATCGTACAAAACGCACTGTATGAGGATTTTTTTGTCTTTCGACAGAGTATTTCAATTTACATTTTTTTCCTAAATACTCATGTTTGAAAAATCGACAACCGTTTTATGATGCAAGGATCCCTTGAAAAAATGCTTGTAGTCTCACTTAGGTAACAGCTACAGCTTAATTCAACGTCATGTTTTCTAGAGAAATGTTCGCTCTATAAAATGATCGATTCTGAGAATTTTTCGCATGTATGAAAAAGCAATTTATAGGATGCATCAAAATCTGTTGCGTCACCATTGAAAGTCATGTTTCAGGTCTTTCCAAAAGTTCTTCATTACTCTTGAACAAAGATAGACACATGATTTCTAAGTCCATAATCATATTCTGGTCGCGACCTATAGTTTTTAGCTCGTCTGAAACACTTTCAAGTAAACCAAATTAAACAAACTTGTTCACTGAAAATAGCAGTTCGCAAGTGCCGTCCAAAAAAAGTTTTGTTTTTGGTTTCTAAAAGATTATTTCACTACTCTTGGATAAAAATAAAGACAAAATTTCGAAAGCCTATATGGATAAGAGGATAAAATTATGATCCTAACTCATCGGAAATACTTTTCAGCAGGTCAAAAGTGAGCAAACATCTTGTCTAACCACTTTCTGATCACCCGTTTTTCTATGATAGTTTTGTGTTAATTTCAATAAAAATCTATCTTCAAAGTTCAACCTTGATTAATAAAATCGTATAACTTATTCCTTTATAATATCTCAAAATCAGTTGTTAACACAAATTCTATTGTTTACTTGTCATATTACATGACAAAGCACAGACAATAATTATTGCATGTTATGCTGATCTTTTTTGAAGAGAAGTTAAGTAATTAAGGAATAATAACATGAAATAAAACAATGATAATAAATAATAAATATCTAAGTCTGTCTAAAAATATTAATGAAAAAACGTTTTCATTGAGTAATTTACTAGCTGAATTCGATGAATTGCCCCAATTTTCTGGACAACAATTATAATCAGGTATTGATGACAATGTTTCATTCAAAAAATTTCGATAAACCATTCGATTATATAATGCTTGTGGACTACGATAATTGTCTAAGGAGATATTTTTTCGAAAAGAATTCATTTCATTTTCACTAAAATTAATAGGTGTTTTGAACACAGTCCAAATGACACCTTCAGTACAAGGTGGTGTTGTCAGTGAACCTCGATAACGCCAAAAATCATTGAGATTACTTCCCATCAATGAAGCTAAGTTTAAGCTGAGTACAGCTGAATTATTTATCTCTTGTAAATTAGAAGCTGTTGCAAAATACTTTCGCCATTCAGTGATTGTTATATTTTCACTGTCATTGGTAGTATCGCGTCTTTTTCGTGTATGAATTGTTTCATTTGTACTTGTGTTCTGACTACTATGCATAAAGATGCCAAGTACAGCAATCACTTTTGTTTCAGGATTAATATGAACAAAATGAATTTCACCTGTAAGTTTTACACCATTTCTAAGTGAAAGAAAATAGATTTTATGAATACAAAAAAATTTTGTTAAAGATTAATTTACACTTGATGTTCACTGCCTGATTTAGAATTTTCAGCCCAGTGAAGATGAAAATTAGAAAACTCAAATGTTCCATTCAAACCACCTCCAGTTAATATGAAAGGTGATGAATCGTTACCATTGTATGTACCAACAATAGTATGCCCATTATTTAAAAGTTTAAAAGTATAATTAAGATTATAAGCTAACGAAAAATTGAAAGGCGTAAATATTTGATAAATAGTGCATGCTGTTTTTATGTTGATTGGTGATTGAGAATGTCCAGCACATGATGGATATGTCTCACTCCACATATCGGGTCCTAAATCATGATAGTTCCAACTCTCACACAGAATATGATGAACGTTAGTCAACAGGAAAGGTAAAATAAGGATGAATCGCATTCGAATATGAATAGTTATTTTAGTGATTACAAAAAGAAAATGACCGAGTCTATTCACTAGCTCGAGCCATCAGTCAAAATAAGTAAAAAATATTGTGATTTTGTTTTTTGCAAGAAACCAACCCAGTCTTTCATATTCAATTTTTTTGCAGAATGTATTTTTTTGCACATAATTATTCTAAATTTTTATAGAACAGAGTTAGTTAATTTGGCACTCACGAAGCATATGTCAACATATTAAACCTCCTACTGAATTTGTGATATAAAAAATATATATTCTAATACATCTGTATATTGTATATGTCGACGTATCAAAAAATACATGTAATTAATCAAATTGTTCTAAGTGGACACCGAATGGTAAATATCGATGTATGCAACAGATTTAAAATTGCTTTAATTTCGTTCTGCTTCTTTTTTTTTTCTTTCCAATAGATGACATTATAAAAAGAAAGTTATAAAAATATAGGTAAAAGTACTTTTTACGCTGTTCTATTTATAAAAACTGTCAAGTTAATCTTGAAACGTTGCCTACTATCATAAGACAATTACAATTAGTCATAAACGGAAATAGTTTCTTTATAGAATATATACTTAATAAGTTCCTTTAAGAAAAATAATACTTTTAAAGTAGTAGAAAACTTGAAAAGCAATATTTCAACATTGATATTCATATCGAATAAAAGAAGTATAATGGAAATCATTACGTTTGCATAGAAATTTTTATTTATTTATTTTATTAAAAAGAAAAAAAGTAAATAAAAGAAATAAATATGATAAAAAAATTTGATTGGCATTGATAAGAAAAGTCTATTTGCCAAACTCTTTGAACTTATTGAACAACAATTATAATCAGGTATTGATGACAGTGTTTCATTCAAAAAATTTCGATATACCATTCGCTGATGTAATGGTTGTGGATGACGATAATTTTTCAACACAATATGTTTTCGAAAAATGCTTATTTCATGTTCATGAAAAGTAATAGGTGTTTTAAACACAGTCCAAATAATACCTTCAGTACAAGGTGGTGTTGTCAGTGAACCGCGATAACGCCAAAAATTATTGAGATGACTGCCCATCAACGAAGCTAGGTTTAAACTGAGTACAGTTGAATTGTTTTTCTGTTTTAAATTTGAAGCTGTGTCAAAATAGGTATGCCATTCAGTGATTGTTATATTTTCACTGTCATTGGTAGTATCGCGTCTTCTTCGTGTATAGTTTGTGCTATTTGTATGGTTTGTGTTATTTGTATTTCGTTTATTATTCATAAAGATACCAAGCACAGCTATTTCTTTTGTTACAGGATTCATATGAACAAAATGAACTTCACTAGCATATTTTTCACCATTTCTAAACAAAAGAAAATAGATTTTATGAATAGAAAAAATCTTTGTTAAAGATTAATTTACACTTGATGTTCACTGCCTGCTCTAGCATTTTCACCCCAGTGAAGATGAAAATTATAAAATTGAAATGTTCCATTCAAACCACCACCAGTCAAATTGAAAGGTGATGAGTCGTTTCCATTGTATGTACCAACAATTGTATGTCCATTATTTATAAGTGTAAAATCATGCTTTAGATGATAAGCTGATGAAAAATCAAAAGGCGTAAAATTTCGATAAACAGTACATGCTGTTTTGATGACAATTGGTGATTGAGAATATGTACCACATGATCCATATACCTCGCTCCAAACATCGGGTCCTGATTCATGATAGTCCCAAGTTTCACCAGTTGCTTGACAAACAATAGTCAACAATAATAAGATAAAAATAAAGGCTTGTGATTGAAGATACATATTAATATTTGACTTTTTTAAAATAGCCTACGCCTAAAACTGTATTAGCTTTTATATCGTATGTGAACGAGAGAAAAATCGAGAAAAAAGGCGTAGCAAGGGGAAAAAGGCAACTTTGACTCATATTTTGGATTTTGTTTGTGATAGATGAAATTTTATTTTCTTTTGGCGTGGAAAAAAATAACAATCATTTATTCAATGCAAATCACTATGCATATTTCTGCTTTAGTTACCTATTTTTAAACGAGAGCAAATTCGATTTCATGGGCAACAGAAAGACACGCAATAAGTAAACGAAGAAGAAATACAATGATATTATATTCGAAATATAAGAGTATTGCGGCTTCATAATAACATATGATTGGCTTTTGCTAAAAGGCTTCATATGATTTTAAAAAAAATAACGTATATGAAGCCATTCAAGCAAGTGCAACTTAATTTATATGCTAAGAGAAACATGAATCGCGGAGTTTTCTTTTATTAACATCATAGATGGACCATTCAAACCGTAAAACTAAATCAATACTGTTGATTTTAAACTTGGCGGACATATTTGATTTGTTTTATCAGTAGCATGTCACTGACATTCAAACTCTAAATGAGACTCGTAATTATAATGAATAAATGATTGATATCTTTTTCAAGCTGATCGATTTATTTGTTGTTACAAACAGTAAATATGTCTTAGATGTAGCTCAGAGTCGTATACAATATAATCAGGAGGATGAAATGTGACTTTCATTATACCTGCAATTAGTTCGTGCTTCTAGTTTCAATTGTGTTCAAAGACGAAAAGATAAAAATGTATTCGAATGTTGCTTACATCTCACTTGTAGTTAATCTATATTTCAAATTGTATTTGAAATAGATAAAAATTTCGTTTGTCTCCAACTCTAACAAAAAAGGGAACTCATTACACTGTATCAATGAAAAAAAACACTTCAATATTTTCATATCTCTTATCTGTATACATTTAGCGTTTTATCGTTATTTGTTCGAATATCAAACACTACAAGAATGAGTATTTTATTTCTAAATATAACTTTTCAATAGAAATAAATATTATTTAATCAATACTTTAAGATAGAGTACTGCGTCACAGTTCTGAATCCCGAAAAATGTTGTTTGTCTCATCACATGAAACACTCGTGACCGAAACGATTCTAAAAACTTTACGACGGAATAATATAGAAAAAAAAAATAATCTCTCAAACTCTTGTTAATCCTTATATCAAAACATGTTGTATACTTGAAATTTTTTATTTCTGTCAAATATCTTATAATATTCAAATAAATAATAGATAAAGAACTAGACTGCCATTCGAGCAAATATCAAGCACAGTGGACAATTTCTACCGAGCATCTTGATATGATTTCTTCTCTGTCAGAAACTTTTTTTTTTCATAAAAATATTAGCTTCTTGCACCTAAAACAAGATTAATGAAAAAACAAAGATCTTTAGCACTGGAAAATTCTGCAGAGGGGCTGCCTGTCCTGAATTTCTCTCTCAAAGCTTTTTTTATTTTAAAAATTAACATATAGCACATCACTCGATGTAGTTTTTCATGTCGATTTCAAGTATGTCATTATTTTCTTTCCAAGTATTTTTATAACAAAGAAAAACTGTAAGAAAAACTTTAAAAACTACGGTTTTTAGACAATTTGTGTTTCAATCTAAGAATATTAGTGCATCGTTGTACTAACTGAGTGTATGTCAAACTATACAAGAAAATTCTCTGAAAATGACATTGTATCGGATTAGTAGAGAAAAGTACAAGTTAACTTTATTGAAGACGTCTTTTTAGTAAACGCTTGGCGTTAAAAAAGAGCATTTATATTTCCAAAATGAAAAATTTTCTTATAAATTGATAGAATAAAAGTTCTCGCTTTAGATTATCTACAATTTATTGAGTAACTCTTTTATTTTTCACAAAAAAAATGATGCTTTTCCTCTCAGGTGATGGAATTTGATCTTTTTAGCAACTAAATATTTCTATTGAATTTAGTAGTTACTTTCATTTTTTCACTCCTGTAGACGAAATCGAATTTTTAAAGAAGTGAATTTCAGATGTGCAGTCGTTACATTCTAACGACCTCGACAAACTTTTTCTCATGTTAGAATGATGTTTAGATGTGGAGAACGATAGTTGACTTGAGTCGTGACTAATACATCGACAAGAAAAGAGAGAAGAATTTGTCATGGCTGCTAAGCAAATGAAAAGCAATTAGTTGGCTTCTGAACTTTGTACAGTGAGCCGCCTTGCAATCAACGAAGTTCGGGTCAAAAGAAAGTTTGTCATTCAGAATTCAACTTTAGAGTACAGAATGGATAGTAAATCGTTTGGTTTTTTTTCTTTTGTCTCTAAAACTTTACTCATGTACTGCGAATAATTGAAATAAACTTTCAAGTATAATTTATATTCATGTACTTTTAATAGAGACGTATCATTAAATAATTATAAAAAATTTGATTGCATATAATCATTCGTAAGATGTATCGTAAGATGTATCGTAAGATCAAGTTTTTCGCTAGAGATCGCTCTTGTCTTGTCATATGTCATATAGATAACGTTTTGCAGTTAAATCAAAGCAAAGTTGATTGGATTGGTAGAATAATATGAATTTACTCATATTGACTGACTGATTGACGCACAATTTATTTAAATGTAAGAAATCGAACAAGTTCTTATTGTATTTTATTATATTATGTGAGTTTTTCATCAATTTTATAGAAATACAGTAAATATGAATTTTATACCTCCCGATACGCAACGTATTTCTGAAGCTCTTGGTGATACTACGCAGGTCTAATCTAGATATTGATAGCTCTTCTCTCTTACATAGTCGATTCTTATTGTAGTTACCAAGAGACATGCAAATAGCTGTAACAAATAAACTTAATGAAAGTTTTCAATCAGTACCGATGCCTAATTATGGCGATTGGTTGAGAAATCATGAAGAAAAAGGACAAACTATGAAATCATTTGAACGAACTACATCAAAAGCTATTCCCCATGCAACGTAAATGATGATGACTTATTATTTCTTTATTTTATTGTGCAAATTTCTTTCTTTTTTACATAATAGTTTTAGAACAATTTATATTCAACCAGTTGGTAGTTTTAATCATCCAAGGTAAAAATGAATTTCTGTTGTTTATTTTTTTTTTTCGATTGCATTATCAATATAAATTTTAGAGCTGCACCACTTGATGTTATTATTCAATTTGCTCGTGTATTTTTTGCAGGATGTGAAGTTGAATTATTACCAACAATCGACTTTTCAAAAGATATGAAACATAGAGAAAATAATGGAATAAGACAGTATCGAACAGATGGTTTTTATGACTATTTATCTCAAACACGTGATCGTCGTGATGCAAGACGAGAACTTTTATGTGTTGCTGTAACTATGGCTGATATTTATCCCGATGAAAGTTGGAATTTTGTTTATGGACAAGCACGAGTAATAGATGGTCTTGGTGTTTATTCATTTGCACGTCTTGATCCATTATTTCCTGCATCACCACAAACTTTACTCACTGTTCCATTAACTAATGAACATCGTATAATAATGCTTCGACGTTGTGTAAAAATTCTTCTACATGAATTAGGTCATTTATTTGGTTTAAAGCATTGTATCTATTATGTGTGTTTGATGAATGGTGCAAATAATCAAATTGAAATGGATCGACAGACTTTATATCTATGTCCTGTTTGTTTACGTAAACTTTATTCAACACTTCAATTTGATGTTCGACATATGTATGAAAATTTTGTAAATCTATGCGAAAAATACGGACTTGAAGAAGAACGTATATGGTATCAAAAACGTCTAGATTGTATTCAAGATAATAAAAGATAATTGAAAATAATATCAAAAAAAAAAGGAGAATCAGATCATCTCTGGCATTCTTACTAATAAACTATGACATGTAAAAACTTCAAAAATTATTTGAAACTAAAACGACACTAAATGTGAAATATTTTTAATAAAAATAAATGTTAAATAAACCCTTTGAAATCGATGGTACATATACATTGTACCACTTACTTTTCAATAGAGGAGAAAATGTTTCTTCTATAGTGAATTGTTAGCACTTGTAAAGTCATAAAAGTTATAGAATTTTCGGGTGCAAACTCACTCTATGCTTTTTCAAGTTGCTATTTATAAAAAAAATATAAAATTGAAAACTGACCCGATCATGATTGACCAAGTTATTGTACGTAAGAACAGATTACAGGAACGAAAAGCAATATTGCTATTATTATGACCGAAAAAATTATTCATTTATGTATTCATAATTATGAAGTTTGTCGTCAACACTGCATTCCATTTTAGTGACTAATCCAATGGATACCCTAGTGGAAGTATTGAGTGTAGAACAGCTGACAAAGTATCCTGGTACCATATGTCCGAGGAATTTAGTTAGATATTCTGTTGAAAACTGTCTCAATACTGCAGTACCACAAGTGAGTACATGTACGTCACGACATGCCTTGTGTTATAAATATTTTCATAAATTAGACTTGTTAAGATCCAGAAATATCTTAAAATCACACATTTAGATACCGCCGAGCAAAGATACAAAAGAGTGGAAAAAATGTTTTGAATTCAGTACTTTCACTAGTTTATTAGTTTTCTCTTACTTTCATAAGATCTTTGTGTAATCAATTTAGAGTGAAACACAATAAATTAATTGAAAAATAACTCAATGATATTCCAAATTAAAATTTTTAGGAAAATTTTCAAATTGGTTTTCAATGAAATTGATCGTTCATTTAAACGCTTACTATATATCCCTTAAGCTCGTAGCAATGATACCAGTAAACTGTCGTTCTGATAAAACTCTATCGTATTATGTCTAAAAAGTTAAAGATTATATGATAATTGCTGAACAATACATGTTTATAATATTTGAGCAGAATCAAAGTTCTTTAAGCTCTAATGAGATCAAAAACTGACACTCAGTTTAGTAAAAAAAACAACACTTGGTCAAT